CAAAAGCAGAAAAATTGTGCAAAATCCCTGCGTTGTAACAGACACACAGACACAAACATGACCGTCTCATCCTTACTCCAGTGCAAGTAAAAAACACTGGAATAAACACAGTGTAAAAGTACTAAGACAGACATGTGCACACACACTCGCTTTGTCTCACACACTAAAACACACACACACCAGCTGACAGGGCTTATAAAAGATTAGCTTCAGTGAAGAGATAAGATCCTGGCATTAGTACAGTCGTGCTCTCCCATCACTACACCACAGAGGTGGAAGGAAGAGTCCAAAGGGGAAAAACGTCGACAGAAGCTGGAGAAGGACGAGAGGGTGGGTGTTGTCGTTGGGCCTTAATGTGTGTGTGTCTGTGTGTGTGTCTGTGTGTGTGTGTGTGTGGGGAGGGGTTATTGTAAACACCACAGCTATTCTTTAAGTCTGTAGACAGATGCAAACTCTTTGTTGTCACCAACGTCGTTGACATGTAATATACAGAACTAGGCAGCGGAGAGCGAAAAGAAGTAAAGGAAGAGGTGACTGAGGAGTGTGGTTAACTAAGGTTGGCGGCTATGATCTGGGAGAGTAGGTTATAAAAGGGATAAATGGGATAAAGATATCGTTTGTCAGGAAGCCTCTTTCTGAGCCAGAGGAGAAGCGGAGATGAGAGGGGGGTTAACTGTGGGGCGAGATGCCCCCCTCCTCCTTTGTCACTCTCTCACAAAAGGAAGGGGTTGGTGGTTCCCGCGGGTTGCGCCCCTGCCTGCGTGGGCATGCTCATCAATGGTTGAGGCATTGACATGGAGGACGGAATCCCCGCACTTATGCCCACGCCACCTACGGCACCAACTCCCATTCCGGGCATCACGCGACCCATGGGAGCCATTCCTGGCATGGGTACCAAAGTGACAGGTTGAGTGGGCAGAGAGGACATGGACATGGGCTCGGGCATGGCGGCGAAGCCCGAGGGCATGGGACTGACCCGCATTTGGTTCAGGGTCGGGGGAGCTGGTTGGCTCACTTGGAAAGGGTTGGCTGCAGCTGGAGCAGAAGCAGAAGCACCTGAAGGACATTTGGTTAAAGAAAGAGACAGAAAAACATTGGTGAACCTGTACCTTAAAGGTCACAAACACACACTGCTGTGCAGGCAGCTTAACACAAATGAAAATACTCGTGTTGGTTTGTGAAAAATGAAAATGCATGGGGCTGTACACAATTTGCGTGAGTGCACTGGGGAAAATACTAGAAAATTTAGCATTAAGTTCATCAACATGATCATCATCTTTTTCTATCTTCCTCACCTGCTGATGCTAAGAAGGGGTTGACAACCGGTGCTGGCTGAGCTGGTTTGGTCACCAATGAGTCCAGATTGACCAGAGCAGCGTTGGGCCCCAGGAAGGACTCAGGAGTCTTTCTCGTTGGGTTCGTAGTGATGGAAGTGGAAGTTGGCAGTGGGTCGAAGAGGTCCAGGCTACCACTGCTGGCCAGGCTGGCCTGAGAGGGGATGGAAGACGTGATGCCACCATCGCCTTTATAACGGAGAGCAAAAAGTGAGAAATGAGTTTGAAAATGAAAAGCCACTCGTGTCAACACAAACTCTGAAAACCTCCAGCCTGTTTGTGCAACAACCTTCATCTGCAGAACCACATTATCATTAACTATGAAAAAAGTCTGAGTCGATGCGATAAAAACAACAGAAGACGCTGTTATGGGGAGACAGCAGAGGCAGACAGCCTGGCTCTTGGTGTTTTTTGGAGACGTTTGTATAACACGCACACAAACACGTCTCCTTATAGTTATGAGGGACACACACACACACACACACAAGTTGAAGAGATGTCCCCCTTTCTGGAAACAGAAACTGTCTGAATCATCTCATCACGTCATTGACTGTATTAGTTTCATTTTTACTTACTGAAAGTCTGACACCTCCATCCAATCACACACACACGCACAAACCACAACAGAACAAAACTATATAAAGATCTGGGCCTCTGTAAGGACGGGAACCCTCTTATTGAACCACATGAATGTGAAATGCATCAGAGTTGTTGTTTTTCTCTGTTGACTACAGAGGGTTTTTAAAATCTTGGGTCACTCAGGAACACATGAAGCCACAAACTTGTCACCACAGTGAAATGGTACCAGACCAGAGCTAATGATGCTAATTTGTCCACCAATCATAAAAAAACCCTAATGTCATATTAGCTCCATTGCCATGGTCTGGTGACATTAACATGTAAAGACAGGACGTGTGTGTCTGTTGCCTGCAGACAGGCACTGCGTCAGACACAGAGGAGAAAAACAAAACAACAACACAGACACCGTGTCATTAGAAAGAGACGAGGACAAGGGTGAGTACCAGTGGGGACAGAGGTGGAGCGCAGGCTGTCAAAATCAGAGAAGTCCTCTTTGGACGTACCGTTGGAAGCATTGAACAGGTCAAAGCCACCTGCAAGAGGACAGAGCACGCCCACAATAACAGACAGGTGATATAGACAACATGAACAAAAGCCAGTTTAAAAAAAAACAAAAAACAAATGTACATTGACCACTGGACATAATACACATGCAGATGTATGGAAGCAGTTGTGCATTAAATGACACGATAAGCAATCGAGGTAGTGAATTCTGATGGTTGAAAGAGGAGAAGGTGTCCCAGATGTTGACCTGTGTGGGAGGTCTTGGGTCGGGCAGCTGAAGAGCCCCAGGGGTCAGAAGCAGGAGCTGAGTTTGCAGGCCATGGGTCGCTGCCTTTCATGGGTGGGACAGAGGCTGCAGAGCCCCAGGGGTCCACTGGGACTGCAGGCTTGGGGGCAGAACCTGAGAAGCATTAGAGAAAAATAAAAATTAGAAAATATATATAAAATAATATTAAAAAGGATGAGTAGCAGGAAAGACAGAGACATAGCGGAGCAAAACAGAAGACAACATTTTCCTCCCCCCTTCAGCTATGCAGCTGAGCCAGTGAAGCAGCATTCCCGCTAAACAGGAACAAAGAGTCATGGCGATGAGAGATTCAGGTGAAAAGAAGGGGGCGCTACACACAAACACAGGAGGAAAACGTTTCTCTTAAATAATTCTCAATGGCGACAGTCAGTGTGATGGATATCAAATGTCAGGATAATTTACAGTGGGTGTGTGTGTGTGTGTGGGGGGGGGGTACCATAGGACTGCCAAGGGTCCGCTGATGCAGCAGCAGCGCCGGCTCCAGCCCCGGCTCCCCAGGGATCAGCACTGGCTCCAGGCTCGGGGACATCCATCAGATCCATCAGAGACGACTGAGGCTGGATTAAAAAAATAATAAAAAAAAGAAAGATAAGTGGTCACTAGAGCTCTGTGACCATCAGTGGGCTAATGATGAATGAACAGGACAGAACACTGTCAATCGATGAGTGTGTTCTACCTCTTTTTTCTTCTTGGGAAGTTTGGCTGAGCCTGGACCTTCTTTCTTGCTCTCTTCTAAGGCCATCTGCAGTCTCAGGTCATCTCCTCGACGTATGCGCTCCTCCTAAACACACACAGGGAGATAAGCGTAGGGAGCACGAGTTAGAAATGCTATCTAGTCTACAGATCTGAAAATGTTTTGGAGCAATAATCATTTCTGCTTCTGTACAATTTTTGAAAACTGTCTGCAGACCCAAGTCCAAACTGTGCATTGACAGCATACATGCTGCGCGTGTTTTGGTTGGTTTGGTGTGTGTGTGTACCTGCTCTGCAGCCTCCCGGCTCATGGCCAAAGCCAGTTGCAGCTGCAGCTCCTCTTCGCCACTGGTCTGAGGTCTGGCCTGTTCCAGCTCTGAGCCTGCGTTGGGGGATGTGGCTGAAAGACAAAATCAAACAGTTTGTCAATAGTGGACGAGATGGCGTCCTCCTCACTCTGACTGTGTCTAGGCTGTGCATGTACATCAGAGTAACAAACACCTGTGACTCGTGGTGCATTTAATCAAAGAGTGAAGTATGCTTCATTCAAAAGGAAACTTTGCCTTGAGGAACTAGAAATAACCAAACAGTACCTACGACAACAGTCGCTTTTTCATCACTACACTTGAAAAGAAGACAAAAATGTTCCACAAAAACAAACACTGCATCCACATGGATCAAACATCACTTACAGCCAATGACAACAGTAGAGACTGTGGGAAAAATCCATATATGGTCAGTCACAATGTTGTGACCAACCTCAACTGCTGAACATACAGCACAAAACCATAGGAATTTCTATAAACAAAAATCATTTTTATTCAAGTTTTTTTTAACATCTACTTATTACAAACTGTGCAGTAGTTTGTGAGCAACAAATTCTTGCACAAATACATTATAGTTTGTGTTTTTTTAAATGGATATAAATAATAATTAAAACATGCATTAGTGTCAAAGACCATTTGTCAAGTGTGAAGGAGTCAACCTTGACTGAACCCTCATGAAAGTGCTCCTCATAAAAGGTCACAATGTCAGCTTCAAAAGTCATTGGCTCAGTTAGGTTTGAAACTCTATAGCAACTCAAGGTTCTTAATCTAATTTTACTTGGGAATTTTGAGTGTGGACGTTGCCCTCTTGTGGCCCTAAATGATATCAGATATCGGTAAATGACGGATCCAAGTTGTTTCACAATACAAGTCATGTGACCAGTACAACTTATGGACTAGAAGATAGTTATCCTGAAACGTTGCATGTTCCGTTTTACCCAGTAAAAGTACAATGTTTCCTTTCCATGTTTGCTACGTTGTTATTCTGTTATTTTATGTGGTAGCTTCTTCAGTAACTTCTTCAGCCTCCTCAGGTTCAGGCTCATCAGCCTCTGGTGGAGGCTCTTGCTCTTCTTCTTCCTCTTCCTCTTCGTCTTCGTCTTCGACAATGATCGTCACCTCCTGTTCCTCCTTTAGCTTATCCTCAATCAGTTTCTGCTGTTGCGCAGCCTCCTCTCTGACTCTGGCCTGCTCCTCCTCCACCTGAGCTAAATAGGCCTTTTTCTCGTTCTCATATTCGACGTTACAGTTGTGCTTGTACAGCCAGTTGGCCAGATACAGGATTGGGTTGGGAGGACGCTGCTCGGCCACTTCAGCCAGTCCTTCTGCCAGACATTTGCCCAGAGAGTTCCTTATGTAGTCCGAGTCCATAGTCATTTCTGCAGAAGGAATCAAAAGTGCTGAAGAACACTAAAATGTATGTATTGTGTTTGCCGTGGGAAACCTGTGAGTACTTAGTAGTCTTAAAACGCTATGCTATTAGGACACACCATTTTGGATCACTTCCAGATGTAGTTATTCAAAGGACTTCAGGAATTCAAAGGAATCAAAGGGTCACTGGCATGTCAGAGGGCAAACCCATAAAAAAAAGAAGTTCTAGTGGTTTCATGGATGTTTGCGTTCCACTTTGTATTTGTGTCTAATCAATTTTAGAATAAAAAAAAATGAATGAACCTGGGGCAGCAGTGTTCATGACAGATTTTGCTGATGGATGTAAAAATATTCCTTGAGTGCGACAGTAGCAGGAGAATCTCCCAAAGATATCAAAGAGAGGTCGAAAAAACTATTTTCTGTGACGGAATCCAAAACTGAGAAACAATATATAACTAGTTTCATAGAGAGTAATAGAGTTAAGATCAATAAAAAGTGTATCAGAAATCTACTGTCATTACTCTTGCTTAATGAAACAAAACCTGTTCAGAGGTTAATAAATAAGAGCCATCAGGTGAGATTAACAGCAGAAAAATTAAAGTAAAATAGCTTTTCTTTAAGAAAACAACAACAGTCACATACGTTTTCACAGCCATTCATTCATAACCTGGCTGGACAACAACACTCAGAAAGGAATTCCAAAAATCCCCCCGACACACCCACAGCCCCCTGACCATCCCTGGCTCTTATTGGTCGGTGGCATCAGTGTTCTTTACAGATGACTCAGCTGTTTCAGCTTCCGTCTCCGGTCCACACAAATACAAAATGCATAAAGAACGAGGGCCACGAAAAGGGCAGGAGATACACATACTCTGTATAACAACTTTCACACACGCTAAAACCACATGCAATGCATAGTTGCACACACACACACCCAAAGATTTATCTCGCAGAGAACCAGGGATCAGTAGGAGCAATTAAAGGAGGCCAAGGTCCATGTTTGGCTACAGAACATATAAAAGAGAGAAGGTCAGACATGGAGAGATTTAAAAGTAATGGTAATATTTATCTACATTTTTGATAGATGTGCAATACTGCATTGTTAGGAAAACCTTGTACACCGGCTGGACACCATCCTGTAATAATGTAACAGTATGAACAGCTGAGATTTTTCACCAATTGTTTGTATATAAAGGTTTGGACCAGTCTTGGTTTCCTCCTTTAGTCTATCAGTGTTTGTGCATGTGTGTGCACATGTGTGTGTGCATAAGGGAAGGGGAAAAAACAAGTGCTGAAGAATGCAGCCCTACTGTGGACTGCAAGACAGAAACAAAATGGGGGAGGGTCAGGTTTATGGGATGTAGGCCAACCTCAGGCAGAAGACACAGTAATAATTAAGTATTTACATGTAGTGTCCAGGCCTCAGGGCCCTGTGTGTATGCATACTATAATATGTCTAAAGAGCTGATACTCACAGCCATGATAGGAGGCAGGTGACCCCTCCGACCTGCCATACTCTTCACTGTATGAAGTGGACAAGTTGGGCTGAGATGAACCACGTCCAAAACCCATCTGATTACTTCCTGTGGTCACCTGGGCCATGCGCTCTTTGGTCTTCAGAGCCTGAGACCTAGCAAGTCAAACATTCGTAACAGTATATCATCAGGCATCTCTTCTGACAATCAACAATAAACCAACAAATAAAATAAATTGTTGTGTTAGGCAGGTGTGCTAACCGCTACACTATTGTACCGACTCAATATGTCATTAAAAGTTTTTTTTTTTGTACGTATTCACTCATTATAAGAACTTAGGTCAGTGTTTCAGCCGTCCACTGTGAACACATAACACACATGCAATAATGAATTAACTTAACTAAGGCTGACAAATACAACTGAACATAAGGATTTTTGAATGTTTTTATAAAACAGCAGACTGACACAAAGTGTCCAAAAAACTAGTAAGAGACTAATATTTAAGGATATATTAGAAGAATAGTACTATAAATTTAGAGTTACGCTACCTTTCTCCTTTAAGGCGGTCCTCGTCTTTGAGAAGGACTACGAGCTGCTTGCTTTTCTCCCTGACGTTGATGCCCTGGTCCTTGCCGTCTCTGTCTATGTACTGGAAGTCCTTTAGGGTCTGGATGGCGAAAATGTTCTCTTTGCACTGCAGCGCCACTCGCTCTGAGCCCGTCTTGATCAGGTAGTCCAGCAGTGTGAGGGCCTTGTAGACGTGTCGCCAGTTCTTGCCGTGGTCATTGAGCCTCTTCCAGATCATGCTCATGATCTCACTGAAGGCCACCACGTTGTAGGTAAGGTCCGCTATCTCCGACATCAGGGAAGAGGACGGGCCCCAGGGGTCATTTGAGGTGGCCTCTCTCACTTTCTTCTCCGCGTCGGAGTAGTTGTTTACCATGTTCTTCATCTGCCGGCGAATGGTGGAGCTTGGCATTGTGGCGGTGAAGTTGGGAGAAACAAAAAGAGAAAAAAAAATATACACTCTCACGCAGGAGAGTAGATAAAACACTACAAATTGTCTGTGTAGCAGATTATAGGCTGACTCTAATGTTTGCAGGACGTGTTTGTGTCCACGATCGCAGCAGTGTAGTGGAGTCTGTAAATATTCTAGCGATTTAGTGAAACTATTATCTGCGTTTGTTTAAGACTTTTCTCCAGGGAAGTGTGATGTTGCTGTGTCCTCCAGATCATCTGTTAAAAACAACTCCACACCCACAGTGCTGGTTGAACACGTGACCACGCCATTGCCTAAAACACAGAGACAAGCGGAGCATTTATGAGTTATCCTTTTATTTACTGTCCACCACTCAATCCTTTCAGGTTCACAAGAGCTGTAGCCAATCTCAGCGGTCATCGGGCGGTGCAGCCTCAATTGCTGGCCAGTCACTCACAGGGCCACACATGAAGTCAAAAACCATTTACACCAATCCTGCACGTTTTTGGGCCATAGGAGAAAACTGGAGAATCCAGAGAAAACCAACATACACATAAAAAAATTTAAAAAAAAGGAACAAGCAAGTCTCTAGCTGTAAGCCAAAACAGCTGAGCCCTTTACACCCCATTAGTACCTCACATACGAAATTAAAAACAGTTCAAAACAGCAACAACAGTTCATTCTATAAGTGTAAAATAACTTAAATCAATAATTATAGAAAAAACAAAGTATCTCAGGTTTTACCATAATGAAATGCTGAGTCAGTGGAACGCAAACAAAAATGTTTTTCATGCTTTCATAATCTTCAGCAATTTCCACACAGCTTGCTTTATACTGCAAGTTATACTGACCAAGACTGAGAACGTGTGTCAGAGTTTTGTTTCCGCTTTTGTAATTGAACTCAACTGCTCTGGAACATGACTCAATTGAAGATTTCACAGTAAGGTGTCGGACAGCTATTGCTTCAGACATGGCTGTCTGGTCTGAGTGGGCGTTTCTGTTCTAGGTCATAAAGCATCGTGAGGAAAGTCGATAGGCTCGGAGAACGGGCATAGCTGATTACAAAGCAAAAACTACAGAGGTTTAGAACAAATACTGGTTGTGTTTGAAGAAAGAACTTTCAATTTGGTGCCTTTGTAGCTGGAGACCAAAATTCTAGAAATTATTTCTTCCAATGTTGTACAACAATGTCAAGCAATATTTTTTTAAATATAATTTTGAAAATGCATGTATATCATCTCAAATAAGGGTTATCCATACAGAGACAACAAAACAATAGTGTAATGATCAACAGCATACTGCTATTAAAAAAGAAGTATCGAGAAAAAAGATTGATTCATGTGTTTCCAGTCATTGGTTGGAGGAAAGGAAGACGAAGCATTTCCAGTCTGATGATGACTTTAGTTACTGATGACTGTCCTGTTTCTAAAAGATCATCAGCCACTAATCACTTCCTGCCTGACACACAATAAATCTTAAAAAGCCATACATCTTTGCATTCATCTTTTGTAAAAACTTGGATGTATGGCTAAAAAAAAAATCTCTGTTGCTGAAATGTGATGTTGTAATCCAGTTTAATCTTTTCTGAAACCACACCAGAACAAGTCCTCTGTGGTTTTATCACTTACTAGGAACGTGGATAGATATTCCCATTGCAAATGATTCACATTTATTTTATCAGTTTTCCTTTTTTTTTTTTTTTCATCATTTACAAGCAGTCGTGCTTTCCGGTGGTGTTAATAACTCTACTGATTCAATGTGTATTAACAAGTGGGATCCATGATTGTTCTTTCTTTATTAGTTGTCTGATCCCGGCATCAAACGTGCGACAACATGCCCCATCGACTGAGCACTTTCCTGAAAAATGCAAGTGAATTTTTTGGACGTTGCATGTCTGCTGAGTATCTACAGAGTATAAATAGTACAAAAAAATGTGTTTCTATCTCCGCAGAACATATCTTTGTGCATATTAACAAATCCGTTTCAGGAAGTTCCTGCCTAGTGATGCCATGGCAGGCCACCTGGGGGGCAGGACCAGTGTGTGTTGGTGTGTGTTCAGAAGAGGGGGGGTAGAAAACAACTTGGCACATCCCGTAAATTCACTTATCGCCAGGGAAATGTGATTCCTGTGGAGCGTGCCCCCCCGTGTCAAGCATTCCCTCATTGTCCCCCTCCTCCTCACCCTGCATCCGACTGAATGCAGCTCAGACCTAATGACACATCTGCTGTTATAATCACCTATTCAACCGAAGCAGACAGGAAGAAGAGAGGGGAGTCTGTCTTGTCCGTTCACCCTCGCCTCCAGCACCCCACCACCACCACCACACCCCCGGAACAGCCTCCACCGAGAGATAGCTCTGGTCTGCTTATCCACAGTGCTCTTTTACTTTAATACTGAAGGTCCCAATTCCAAAGGAGAAGACACACTGTACATTACTTGTGTGAAAAATTCAACCCATTGGTCACCTTACATCCAATAAGTTAAAGAAGACAACAACACTACAATGTTACCATTAAATTAGATTGAAAACAGTCCCCTGAAATTCACAAATAAAGCACACAAAATCATAAAAAGTGCTATATTGTGTGGTTTGTATTTTAATGCAAAGTATGCCCAATGTTGGCTATAGTTTTGCTTCATGGCCACTTTATATTTCTGTTGTTTGTTCTGACATAGGCACATACTACTTTAGGACATGACTGTGCACACAGGATGTTGTATTTACTCTATGAATATTAAAACGTCTGATTCGTGACAACATTTTTAGTGTGCCAACAGCTGGTATTTAAGGGTCGGTCTGTACAAAGTAAATTAAAACAAATTACAGCAGGATGGAAATCACAGCAGATTCACCAGGTTTATAGTTTTTGTATTAAGTGTTGGCTGTCACCTTGGTCATGTCTCTCTTATGAAAGAGGTGTTTAACCTCACGGCGTCCTCTTGATTAAATAAAGGAAAAATAATAATATAATAAGCACATTAAAAAAGAGTGTCTCAGTTGTGATGAAACATTTTACATGGAACACAAGACCTTCGGAAACAATGTCAAGATCTCGTGGGCGCCAAAGTTGAGTCAATATTTTACTACTAAAAATAATTTGTCATCTACCTTATCCTTAATCTATCTGAAGTGTTGTACAGTTAAGGATAAGTCCTTAATCTATCTGAAGTGTTGTACAGACAAGAATGTTGGAGATGTATAAAGAAATGTATTGTCCATCTACCTGGAACAATATTTTAGATTTTGGAGTCCATTAAAATAGATTTTCTCTGAAAGCATTGTGACCAACACTTTTTGCTCATCTCTGAGCATCGTGTCTTGCCAGAGACACCAATGACTTCAAGCACTAGTTTGATAACTATTAATGCAAGGCATCCTTTCAATCTAGATCACTTGTTAAATTAATTATTGATTTGTTACAATGGAAAAAAAGACAAACAACAGAATTATTAATTACACCTATCTAACATATATACATACCTATGTATTATCTGCATGTCTTGTCAAAAATCCAAATATGTTCTCAGTAGCAAAAAAAAAAATTGAAAGAGAGAACACTGAGAAATGGTCTACCTGGCCAGGGCTGAGAAAAAGAGTAGAGCTGATCTGAAGATACACAGCTTGTACAACCAGGTGCTGTTCTGAGCTGAGACTAAGTGTGTGAGATGAGATTTTGTGAAACAAGACAGATGGGGAGGAGTGTATTGAAGCGTGACGCCAAGTAACCCAGCCGGTTTCTCATACAACCTTTTTATTTTTAATCAAGTAAATTTAATTGTATTCATGATCTTATTGTGTCTGAATTTCATTTGCAACGATGCAAAGATTAACTGGCTAAGAGACAAACTATGTCCAAAATGTCAGCCAAAAGACCCAAAATAATAAAAACTGGTCCACAGAGGACAAAATACTAAGTTTGTGAAATTAAACTTGCCCACTATCCAAACACTACTGTGTAATTTTCTGGGTTATGGGGGTAGATACAGTCAATCAATTTGAAGAGGACAGGGCACAGTTTTGTTATTTCACACTGACAGTACCACTATAGTCATTTAAAGTAAACTATAAACTAAATGTTGCACATTTTTTGGACAGTGAGAGAGGAAAAAATGAAATAAGCCAGAGATGAGTTTCTCAGGGTAAAACTGTGATATTCTGGCTTCTGAGCAACTGCCCTCAATATGAAATACCCTGACAAGTAACTGAGTTTTTAATCACAGGGTTCCAATGATCTGTGCTGTGGCACACATCCACCAAAAAACTATTTGAACCTAATGAGTAAACTATTTTGAAAATAAATCCACCTCAGCTGAACTTGTGTTCCATTTAGGTCCCTTCTATAGTTACTGTGATCCATGAAAATGACCATTTGATTACTCCATATATGGGCAGGAACTTCTTGCAACTTAAACCTGTAGCGACCAAGCCTATGTGACATGCAGCAATGAGGGACACGACGGAAGGAACAGCCACGTTCTTATTGTCGTGTCACCCCGCCTTTTGTTCGCACGTGACAAGGGAGGCGGGGGGGGGGGACAAAGACAAGACGGGGACGATAGGAGGAGGACGACGATGATGATGCATCTGTCACCCGCTGTGGCTGACTGATCATCCTGACAATAGACCAAACCCGTCCCTACACTCTGCCTACGTTCGTATGGACTTTAACAAGTGCATAAATTGTGGACCATAACCCATAAACACACGCCACTCTTCATAATGTCAGAAAACACGTTGTGCTTGCCTGACTACAGGCAGGATCGGCCGACTGGAAATAAGGCGTGTAAACAGACAGCGCCCACATCGTGAAGAATGTCTATGGACTTTAAATGTTCTCTTACTGACTCATAACAGATGTTATACGATTTAATCACCCGGTTTAATTAGTATAACGCATTAGTAAAACACAACATAATAATTTAAAGCTATCTCTAAAAACACGCGCACACATACACACACAAAAATCACAGCGTTTCCTTTAACCGATGTCATTGAGCACGTAAGCTAAAGTAGCTTTAGCTTAAATTAGGTGTTCTTCTTTGTTATCATCCTCGCTTGTGTATCACCAAAACGATCTAAAGACACTTATTAACTATCCATAGTACTGGGTGTGACCTTTTGTGGAGATGCGAGTGGAAATTGCTGCCGTAACAACTATAAGACCAGTCCATTTAACATCGGTGATGCTAGCAACTTGCACTCAAACTTGCGTCAAGCCTCTGTCGGCTAACGTATTGCGATAGAGAAAATATATATTTGCCTCGTTCCTTTTATGTTTGTTGGTTATTAAGTTTGTATGTTGCTGCAGTTAGATATTTTATCGTATTTACGGTTTTGTTACAGACTCCGCCGATTGGAGCGCTGAGATTTGGCCGCAGTCCGAAGCTAATCTCTGGTCCACTTTCAAAACTTAGCCGTGGAAACAAGTTAGATGAAAGCCTTAGACGCCGCTGTTACGTTAGCAAACCATTAGCACCAACTATCCGTTAAATGCACAACTGTTGCTCATTCGCTATATAAAGCCAACGTTTGTACGTTGCAATCACATAACCAAACTCAGACAGGGTCACACACTGATTATATGTTCCACCAACGTTTTTCAAATGCTAGTACAGTTAGCCATTTGATTTGCTGCGCTAGTTAGCGATGCTTCCAGCTAAAAGCCAGACGGGTGCTCGGTGGAGACATCACCACGGCAAACTGGATTACAGGACACTGGGAAAAAAACAAAACAACTTGGCTGCCTTTAAACCTGACAATAACTTACCATTTCCTTTTGAGTCACGTTACGTTCCACTTAAATCCTGGGTTACACGCCTGTATAGTGTTTACGCCAATTCCTAGTGTAAAAAAATTAGGTTGGAGTACTTTTTATTTCGGCGTCCGAGGAGCTTGTTGCGCCTCCGCCTAGCTATATGTTGCTAATGCTAAAGCTGCTAAAGCCAGGCTACACGTATCTCCTCCTCCTCCAGAACATGGCGGGCAGAGTGGGAGGGGGTCAAGCGGGGAAGGGTGTGACCTGGGCGGTTGAACTTGCTTGAGCCCACACAGAGAGGCCCTTCAGTCATTCTCAGGAGACATTTTCAGTCATTTTACCTTTAAAATGTTCTTGCTGTAGGGTTAAAGGCCCCGGCTACAATGGCAAACCATAGTTATCTTTGTAGATATTTCAAGTTTTACAAACTTTAATTAGAACAAAGTGAGCAAAATATCAGGATTTATGCAAAAATTTTAATTTGTATAGCGTAAAATGTCACTTTAAGGACTGCTGTGGTTCTGGTTTCTGTTGTTTGTCTTTTGTTAGGTGACTGGTCAAACTAACCACTCAGGTAAATCAGGTTTCTTCAAGGAAATGGAAAATCTTTTTAAAATTTCCACTTCTATAAAACCATATCAACATCAACCCTATTTTCGTTATTGGTTATAACACAACAACAATATGTGTTTGTGACTGTTCAAATGTATGTGGTGTGTGTGTTTTACAGGTGTGTCAGAACTGCATTCCATCACTCAGATTTTCCATTGTCATTGCAGTACAGAGAAACACATTAGGTGCATATTTTAGACGTGTACGTAAAACAAACAATCCTTTCAGATGCTAAGATTAGGTGTATGTGATTCCATTTAATTTTACAAAGAGATAATAATAGATGCCATGGTGTGTAAAAGTTATAGGCAGAGGATTTAGATGCAGAAAATAGAAGCAAGTAAAGTCAATGAAACCTGACTGACAGTTTGTTGACAGTCGATTTGGTCACTGTAAAGTGGTTCATGGCTTTCTGTGATTTTGTTTTTATTTTAAACCAATTTGACATTCCTAAAAATTACTCAAATGTATAATCTAATTTCAAACTATGGGTTACAAGGGTGAATATGTTGTTATAGCTGTTCCTCCTGTCTGCAAATAAACTGAAAGTTACTAGTTCCAGACGTTTACCCAAGAACAAACAACCTAGTAGATGGCAGTATACCAACTCAAAAACTGCAGTGATGACACACCAAAGAATACACAACGTATAGATATCCTAATAATCTCTGAAGAATGTAGGCCAGTGTTCCGTGATAGGAACTGCAGAGATTCCTCGTGCAAATCAAGTTACACCTTTTTTCTGCAGATTCTTTATTCGCCGTTAGAGGGCAGGATTGAATCACTTTTTAACGGTCAACAAATTTCTCTGCAATATCAAACCTATCCGACTTCCTGATAGAATTTATTTGCATCAACTTTTTTATTTTCATTTTATTTTTACAAAAAAATAATTAATTTTAACATTGATGAGTAGGTATAAATAGTCTAGATTGTTCGCAAAATGAGAAATAGTAGCAAAGTATAATAATAATGACAATCTGTAATAAGAAAAACTGTAAGAATCAGGCAGCACAGACTAATGTTGTAGAGACCCGTGCCAGGCACTGTACAATAGTTGGTGCATTCACTGTCTTTAAAGGGAAGTGAAGAGTTTCCGTGCCCACCTTAGGCTGCTGTTGCACTACACTTTTCTGCACGTACGATGAAACATTGATGTCATCAGAGCAAAACAAAAAAACACAAAAGCACAGTGGCTAAGACAAATCTACATACGTTTTCAAGCTTAAAGTTTGCAAGCAGAAAAAAACACAAGAGAAGGCAGAGAAACTTGATCAAATTTATATTTCTCTCTTTAATCCTCCTCTAATCCCTGTGAGGAGTCCATGACACACATGAAGAGGGTAAAAGTCATGGAGCAGATTGTGCTTTCACAGTGGAGAAGGAATGCATTTTAACTTCCTCTCCTTCCCTTCCTCTTCCATTGTCCCGTCGCCACGTAGCATATCCAGCCTTTCTCTCTTGAGTCAAGTGTGCAGCTGACTGGTGGTTTCCTGGATAAATCATGCTTCAGTGACCGCAGCTCTGCTGTTTTGTGGGTTTAGGTTTATTTGCTACATGTCTCTGCTTCTTTAATTCACATAACAGTAACGGTAAAGAAAGGTTTTCTGCTGATAGCTGCCGAAACCAAAAGAAAAATAATTTTACAGTCTGTGTCTCAATTCTCAAATATACAGTTTAGACATTAGTAATAAATGTGTCCTCACATGACAAAATAACACCACAAAGTCATGATGGAACATTAACACTATTTTTCTGCAGCAATGGGGGAATTATTGTTATATAAATTCTAATTATTATCATTAGATAAATAATAATAGCAACAATTATAACTTAAATAGTAAAGACAAGTGTCCTTGACCCTCCAAGTACCCACAAACCACAAAATGACGTCTCTGCCAGAGACATGTCAGAAACAGGAGCGTTAATAGAGGGGAGTATTCTATTTTTGTCTGTTTAATGTACTTTTACTGTAGCACCAGGTTTGACAATTTCATGCATTTTTACCCATTGAATCAGTGAAGCATAATATTCCTTGGACAGAAAACCTTCTCCGTCGCTCTCCTGAGCCTCCAGGTGATTCAACGCACATTCCTGTCCTGATTGCAATTTGCACACAAAGTGTGGGGGAAAATCAAATTGCAGTTATAGACACGCAATTTCACGAGTGAACTCCTGAGCGGAGGAAAATACATTTCTGAACCGGCCCCTGTCTCTTACGTATGTCCACTGTTTTCATTATTACTCCGGGCCTTTCTCAAGCACTGAATACAAACCACCAAATAACACCAGGTGGGACAGTTTGGCGCTTCCTGTTGCTGCTACTGCTGCTTTTGTCAGAGACACACTGACAATATAGAAAGGAAAGAAAAAAACAATATAAAAAAAAACAAGGCAATGGAAAAAGGTTCATCTATTTTAATCTTTGTTGTTCAGACAGGTCAAAGAAATAGAGGACTTTTACGCTGCTGCTCATGGCCTGGAAACCACAATCGTGAGATGTGAGAACTCTACGTTGCAGCCCCCTCACAGACCACAACAGTTGTTGAACTGAAAAAATGTGACTTTACCACACCCATGTTTTATATATATGTGTGTGTGTGTGTGTGTGTGTGTATATATATATATATGTCACTTTTTTTCAGTTCAATTATAAAATAAATACAATTTATTTCACTGGGCTACATGAAGCTAAGGCCGAGACACGGATTTTATTTACATGTGCGTTTATGTATATTGTGTAAAACTGCTTTTGAAAACTAAAGAATAAAAAGTTGCATGCTTAGCTCAGTTTAGCTCATCTTAACCGACCTTAGCTTGCATTGGCTTAGCATAGCATAGCTTAGCTTAGACAGAGGAGACAGAGCACTGAAAGTAAGTCTTTTAAAAAATAAAACTGTTTGTTTGTGGAGTGACATAATCAAGAAACATTTGTCCCTTTGTCGTCGAGGAACCCGAGTTATATTGTCCTGCTGGGTCTGTGTGACGTTATCATCACTTCCTGTGAGTCATTTGCTATTTTTTTTCAAGGAGGACAATGATGAACCGAAGGTGAGCTGACCTCTGGTCTGAAACAACACACTAGATGATTCACACATCAACACACACCCCCGCACGAAGATAAGTAATTGAAGGAAACACACTCATATACCACAAACTCAGAGGTATAGAACCAGAACGAGAGTGTGAGAGCGAGAGAGGAAGCGGGAGAGAGAGAGAGCGTGAGAGAAATAGATGAAAAAGGTGAGAGAGAGAGATCCACAGAAGCCAAACTAAATGTATGAGACACATGTACACACAGGAAGTGCCTCCCACTCACTTGCCTTGCTCTCTCTCTCTCTCTCTCTCTCTCTCTCCCTCTCTCTCTCTTCCTCTTCCTCCCTCTCTCACTCACGGCAGTGTTGCCGAGCAGCAGCCACTAGTGTTATTCCCCCTCAGCAGGCTCACTCTCAGTATCTCGTCCTCTGCTCTCAATCTCTCTTGCGCTCTCTAGCTCAGCGGACAGACGAGACCTCTCCTCCGTACCGTCGTTTCTTTCCTCCTTCCTCTCCTCTTTTACCCAGGTTTTTTTCTTTCTTCTTCTTGGTATATTTAAAATATTCTATCCTCTCTCTAAGAGCTCTCCCCTTCTGTCAGGGGAGTAGTTGGCATCCCCAAAAAGTAGGTGTTTTACAGTGTGTGAGTGAGTGAGTGTGCGTATTTTCCGGGGGGTCTCAGAATGGAAGCTGTGGCACTGTACACCTTCCGTGCCACTGAAGGAGATGAACTTAGTTTCAACAAAGGGGACTTGCTCAAGGTAAGAAGAATGTCTGTCTGTCTGTCTATAGACTGTCAGTATCTATACCACTATATATCTATACCACTATATATCTATCTGTACAGCTGCTGTAGACTGATTACTCATACTTGGACCAACAGTCCCCCCTCCCTCTCTCTCTCCCCTCCCTCCCGCCCTCCCTTTCTCCCCCGTCTGTGCTGTGATAATTACAACAATTATAACTTTAGACTCCATACTGTAGCTCTTGACGTTCCGTATCCAGGTGCTGCAGTTGCAGACTCGATAAAGTGCACTGTGTGTGTGTGTGTGTGTGTGTGTGAGAGAGAGAGAGAGAGTGTTAATGGCTTGAAACATGTTTTTAAGTGTTGCAGACACTTGTTATGCATCTGGACTGTGTGTGTGATGATGATGATGATGAGGAGGAGGAGGAGGAGGAGGAGGAGGAGGACGAGTGCTGAACAGATTACAGTAGAAACATCTGTTCACCACTGATTAACAGCAGCCTCATCACTGTACTGTTTGGCAGTTGGAGTACCTACAGATCAGAACAGTATGTTGACCAGCACCACCGACTTCCGGGACTCTCTAAGCGTTTGCTTGGAAACCGCTCCCGGCCAATCAAAAGTGAGACGTATAATCCCTTTATATAAAAACAATCAGTCAACTCTGTGCTTCTGGTGAACTGTTCCCTCCTGTGTCAGTGTTTGCTGCTAAGTAAAGCTACCTGTCTCCAGGCAGTGGTGTCATATTTAGCATGCGGACCAAAGGGTCATATCAATCTCATCGTCATCTTCCTCCTCTGTGCTTCAGAAACAAATAAATAAATAAAAACCAGCCTTTCCCAAAATAGCAAACAGAACCTTTAGTGTTCTCTTCTTCTTCTTCTTCTTTCTTTTTTTTTTGCATTTTAAAGCCACAGTTTTTGTATTTTTTATGCAGCCAACAGGCCGTGCAGAAATAGTTCCTGCACAGCTGGAAATTATTGTTGTAGAAAATCGTTGCTCTGAGACATCAGCGGTGGAGCTTAGAATACAAGAGCAAACAAAAAAAAATCCTCTTTAGAATTATATCATATGAAATGCACCGGCAGCAGCTGTTTGACAGACACATCTCAAGGTGCAGCTATGCATTTGATCTGATTATTAATATCTTTACTCCTGCCATGTAAGGGAAATGGTATTCCCGGAATATCACATTAAATTCCACTCATATATTCCATGGGTTTTACCCTTTAATCTCAGGCAGCAAGTGGGAATATTATTCATCCAACAGCAGTCAACGTGCGTCTGAACAGAGCAGTGTCTCGCTTCTACAGACTGCAGAAAATGTGTGACAGCGTGCTGTGGCAGCCAGTACCAAAGTGGATATTTGTGATCTACCCCTTTAAGGTGCATTGATCCTAGTGGCTGCAGCATTCTTATAGCTGTCCACTTTATCTGACGTCTTTTTTTCCTTCCACTTGGACGGACTGCGGTCCTGTCTTAGTCAAACCGCGCTGGTTGAAAAGTAGGTCAAACCAGCTTTAAACTGTCCTTAATGTTGGTTCAGCCGAGCCCAGAAGTAACACAAAATAAAATATAAAAATACTGAAGTTTATTTGTGTCTTAGAGCTCCTCTTTTTTATTTTGTTGTCAGTGAGGATGAAAGCAGTTAGGTTCAACCTGAAACTTTTTTTCATTTGGGACATTGATTAAGCTATAGAGAGAGAGAGAGAAAAATGCATGCTTGAAAAAAAAAAGTCGAAAAAATGCATGCTTGAAAAGAAAAAGTCGTAAAAATAGCTTCAAAGTTAGTTTTTCTTTTTGTTCCATTTAAAGGTAGCTCTAACAAAGCCCCAAATCACTGCAGCCAAATCTGGCACAGGAGACGGAGCCAAGCGTTCCTTTTATTTTTTCAACCCAACACACATCGATGTGACAATTTTGGAATTTTAATTAGCTTTTGGATCATCATAGTTCTGTCACTGGCAACCGGGCGACTTAAACACTAGAAGCCAGGTAGTGTAAAAATAAAAAATAAAAAAAAAACTGGGAATCTGAAATAAATATAATGTTTTAAATCCTGGGCGAACAAACAACAAAACTCAGACTCTGTCTCCAAGTCCTCATTAATGTAGAAACATAATGCCAAAAATGTGTTATTGTTATTTTTAAACCCTTTGCCGTGGCATCAGAGGAGTCGATTCAGTCTGTTTTATCGCCTGTAAACAGTAACCTGCTGCCAGTATTAAAAAAAAGGTTGACCTCATGAGGTCTGCGTTTAAAATTACATCTGTGTGATCAGTGTGATTCATGTCACAATACAAAACCCCCCCAAAAAACCAGAACAAATATTGGACCTTATGAGTCTGAACAAAGATGTGAAAGCAGCATTTTTTTAAAGAAGACAAAACTGTAAAATAGTTACCAATAAAAAAAAGGAAGAAATTATTTTTAGATTTTGGCTGAACTTCGACTCACGGTGTCATCTTATAACGTAGAACGTAAAACATAAGGAAAGAGTTGGACTTTGTCCATGCTTCAAAAGTTTCTTTAGTTATCTTTAAATGGGCGCTAGAGAGAAAATGTGTCTGGTAATTAAGTCACAAAGACAGTGAATATTATTTTACTGCAAAGTGAAGAACGTCAGGCATAAATGTGACATGAAATATGTTCAAAGGAGGAAGATGGGGATGTGAAAGTGAATTCATTTCAAATGTAACGAACATCTGTGGGTGACAGAGTCGGTGAATGTGTAACAGCAGTCGTGATGTAACTCACCGAGCGACCGTGTTTGAACGGCGATTGACACCCACAAACTGTAAGTCATTCTAAAGCCCGCAGCACATTGGAAAATGGCCGTAGCAGTGTGTAGTGTGACCATTAAAGTTACTGGTGCGTGAAATAAACTTTCCAAAGGCAGAAAAGAGACGAGGCGACCTTCTGACTTTGAGGCAAGAATCAGTGAAGTCGCCGAGAAGATCTTCATGTTTGGATAAATCAGATTTCAGAGATGGTTGGATAAAAAAAAAAATCATCCATTTAATCCAGTGTCCAGCAGGGGGTGAGAGGAGTAAAAAAAACAGTTAAAGGTTTATGCTACAGTCGTATCAATTGTGAATATCAGACATGACTGTGAGTGTGGACTAAATGTCTAAAGGCTGGGAAGTGAAGGAATGGAATTAAAAGGTCCAAAAAGTAGTGATGATATCATTTACATCATGGGTCCCCAACCTGCGGTCTCTGGACCATTTCTGGTCCGTGAGTCATTTGGTACCAGGCCACAGCAATAATGACTAATTTACTTTATTTAAAAAGAATCCAGCAATTTGTTAAAAAAAAATAATAGACTCTGATACGAACAAAATAAAGTCTGAAAGTGCTACGAGGGCGACCAGTTCTTGGTACATGAGGGAAGTTAAATAAATAACAGCCTGCCTTAAAATGTACAAAACCTTCTCACATACACACTCACCTTGATATAGTTCCAAACAAGACCTAGTGTGTTGCCCATACACCACAGCTCACTCATCTTCAACGGTGAGTCCCACCTTGGAAGATTCACCAATCCATTATGACATACAGACACAACCATTTAAAGTCACATTCACTAACAATCAGCCAAATCCATGCTGTGTTTTTGGTGGAAACTCCAGCAGCCAAATAAAGGAAACCCTCAGTGACCTCTGGGGCTGGAATCGATGACTTTCATCCTCTCATCCCCCATACCATCACATCAGCCCCCCAGCACAGCTGACCTGCCCTCATTAGTCACAGCAGCGTAGGTAGACAAACAAACATGACAAACCGATTAAGCCACAGCCTTGATCGTAACCCTGTGACATTTGGAATGAGCTCAGGGAGCAGATCAAGCAGCACAAACAACTGGCACGTTCCAGCTGAGGCTCCGCTCCGTGACAACAATGCTCCACAGTCTTCGTGAAGTTTACGGGAAACGATAGTTTGAGGCTAGCGCTGCCAGAGGAAGTCTGCAAACCTGTTAGATCAGTTTTCTTTTCTCCCTCCTCCTCTGTAGAAGTCAATTGTTTCTGTAAAAGGAGGATGTGAGAGATTTCACCTCATTGTCTCCACTCCTGACTGGGATCAGTCCAGACCCATCAGTAACGGCAACATTCGTATTTATGAACAATTATTACTGGAAAAAAACAGGAACTCGCTTTTCTCACTGACATAACTGGAACACGACTGGAACAAGTATGAGTCAGAGAGGACCCTGTTAAAACACCCAACGATGTGATTGTGACACGTTCAGGATGATGAAGACAAAGGTCATTAAGAGGTCATTAAAACCGTGTCACCAAAAACCAAAAGTTACTGTGAAACAACAGCTTCAGAGTTTTTATTTTGGAAGCACAAACCTCATCTTCTCACTTCTCCGTGGGCATATTTCTCTTTTTCTCTAAAAGCTGACATGTTTCAAAAGGTGTTTGTAACTGGGTCAGAATCCAGTTTCTTTCTGTTTCTCCCTCGGGGCCCCGGAACCAAATGACCCACAGCCCAGTTTCGGTCCGTGGCCCTGTGGTTGGTGACTTGATCATTAAAATGAGGCTAAAGTTGTGACGTTGTGTGTTTTTTCACTCCTAGATCACCAACATGGAGGACGATCCAAACTGGTACACGGCTGAGCTCCACAACAGAAAAGGCTTCGTCCCGAAAAACTACATAAACCTGCGACCTCATGCGTGAGTCACTCATTTTAGCCGTGCATGTTGATGAGCCTGCATGCTAACAATATCAACATACTGAAAGTTGACGACCGTCTCTTTGGCATTAGTTATATCTTTACAAAGTAAAACTGAAGTACCCAGAATTCCCTTTCATGCCAAATGTGTAGCTACCCAAACATTCAGCATTTTATTAAAAAATGCTTCATAGCATGGAAAGGTAATAACTGGACGTAGGCGTCCAAAAATGTTTTTGTCTGACTCCAAATCAATTGAACTGGACGTAGGCGTCCAAAAACTACAGCCAATGACGCTCAGAATACAGTATATGAAAATAATGTTTTTGTCTGACTCCAAATCAATTTTTCATTTTGTGTTCATGTTGTGTTTATCACCAAGAAATAATAATCCTATTTAGCGTAAAAAGGGAAATAAAGCATGTCCTCTAATACAAACCACTGCCTGTTTGATTAAAAATGAGTAGGAAAATAATCATGGTTTTCTAAATAGAGTGATTCGTTTTTCAGTTTTATGACACTCCACTGAAAAGTTCCTAGCTCAGGATTATATTGTATATCTTATGGACAAGCACCGAAGAGACTCCGACGTGGATCGGTTACAGCAAAAAAACAAGTCTGAGTTTGAGAAAGAAAATCCACTGAATCTTTCAAATCCACCCAGGAGCTCTTACAAAAATGAGAAGTAAAGTCGAGACATGGCAGCAAGTCATCTGTGAAACAGATGAATACATTTTCCATGTCCATCGCTGGTTTGTTTAAAGAGCTCGTCGGTGAGTGTGTGTTCCGCTTCAGGGCATTTTCTGTTCCTCTTTGGACATCTGCACTCCAGCATACGGCAGCCCTCCTGAAGGGACACACTCATTTGCCGCTTTACGTAACTGCAGTGTGTGTGTGTGGATAGAACAAGTGTTTTTGCATTGAAGCTGCTGATACACACTCTCTCTCTCTCTCCCTCCCTCTCGATCTCTCTCTCTGTACTTTACTATGACTCATCCAACTGACCGCTGTTGCAAGTCCACGAGGGCAGAGCATCATTAATGCCAGCCTCGCATCCAAGCAAAGCGCTCCACTAGGCAAGACTAATAAGCAAAATAATAAAATGAGGAATGTGACCATTACTTATGCTCCACTGATGACAAATGAAACCTGGCTGTCTGGGATTTGTGCAGTGTGTGTTTTTTTCACAAGTTTTCATTTTCACTTCAGTCAACGTTTCAGGTGCGGAGCTCCAACTGGTCTGTGCCGTGCTGAATATACAAACAAATATACAAAAAAAAAAGGAAACATGTATTTGAAGTACACTTCTTTATTCAAGAGAGTGCAGGCTAAACCGCCGCATATTGATTACGTTCTTCTTCTCTTCTCTGGCCTCCAGATGGTTCGCCGGTCGTATATCTCGTGGTGTGGCAGAAAGTCGGCTCCGACAGAGGGAGTGCGGAGCGTTTCTGGTCAGAGAGAGTGAGAGTGCTCCGGGAGAGTTCTCCATGTCTGTCAGGTAAAATACGTGTATATTTTGAAATGCATTATCTAAGTGGGTTACTTCAGGTCTGATGTCACTAAATATATTTGTTGAAGGGCCAGAATTTTTTCCTGGTGGCCAGACTCTCAAATAAAATTAAATAAAAATTAAATTTTTGTCTAACATTGTAATTTGATACGCATTTTCGGAATCCATTCGCAGGCCAGATTAAATGGTTCGGTGGGCCAGATTTGGCCCGCGAGCCCATAGTTGAGAATCACTATTATTCATTATATCAACAAAATTAAATCAGCTGATCGTCCAAAAGAAAAATTAAAAACTTGACTTTGAGAATCTCAAGGTCAATGCAGCAAATTAACAGGAATAACCAATAAAACAGTATTAATTCATATATGGCTGTGCAAGGCATTGTCTCTCACAGCAAAAAGGTCTCCGGTTAAAATCCCCGTCAAAGATTCAGATCAGATATTTGGAGATTTTGGGCAGTGGTCCCCGACAGGTCCCCTGGTTTGTACCAAGGATCTGGTACTGTGGATCGTTAAAGTATCATTAAGGACCAGTAAAATTATTAAAGTAAATGAGTGAATTAGTATTTTTTACTACTTTGGTCCAGCACCAATGTGATTACAGACAGATGCAGTAAGAATAAAAGAAATAGTACCTGGTACTAACTGACGGGGGGGTGGGGGAGGGGACCTTCCACAGCAGCTAAACTTCTAAATGTGTGTATTTTCCTGACAAGCAGTAATTATCCAAATGTCAAGCCACGCGGCGTTTACACACCCGGCCTCGCTGCTCTGTGAGCAGGAGGTCGAGTCACAGGACGGTTCCACTGCACATGGAACATTATGAATTTACTTTCGGCATGAGATCAGAGGGGCCGGTCGTCGACGTCAGAGGGTGAAGTCTGGCCCAATGTGGCAAGTGGCATCTGGAGTTGCTAATGAAGCCAATGGTTGGCCTTATTTAGGGACCGCGGTCTGGATGCAGCTGAGGCTCGGTGTCGTCCTCCTGAGGGGCATGTGGATATTTAGATGATGCCAGAACGTGTGAGTGTGATGGGAGGGTGGGAGGGAAGGAGAGAAGAGGGAGGAGGAGACACAGAAGGAGCAACTTGACATTGGTGGAAACCTGGTCCTCACTCGTAGCTAAAGGTCTGTAGCCGTTTGTTGGCGTTTGGTTCTGGGTGTTGTTTCTGGGTCAGGTGTGTGTATTTTGGGAGTGTGCTCCGACGGAGCGCTTCAAAGATCCATTTTGGCAGGACTGGACCAGACTGTGGAGACTTGGCCCAGCGATGGTCCAGCTTGGAGGTAAAATCAGCGCAGGATAATTGGATGCAGTTTTGAAGCCGTAAATGCAGCAGAGAGGCTGCCAATAAAGAAACTTTATTTCTACCTTCCTGGACTTCAGACAAACTGTAGTATCAGTTTATTCTAATCAGACTCCGAGGATTTTAATATGATTATTTATCGTGATTTTTTTCCTGTATCTTACTTGAACAAAAAGACAAATAGCAGCAGGTGAATGTGTGTTTTTTGCAGCTCTTTCTTTGTCGTGACTATTCAAATTATGTGAAAAATTGTATTACAACCAATTTTTGCTTCATAGAGTTGTTGGATTTTTTTAAGCGTGGGCTGCTTCAGTGAAACTACAACTTCCCACAAATTAAAATTCCCACAGTATGTGCAAATATCATGTGTCTAAAAGCAACATAAAATAGATGGACAGTGGAATTTTTAGACATACAGAGTTCATTTTTTATTCTGGCCATGTGTTAAAATGCACTATTTTGATAACCTTATTTTATATATTATTTATATCAATGTTAAAGTCATAATTAAAGGTCTGAAATGTTTTGTCAAGCACTAAAATAAAAGGCTAAATTACATTTTGTGGACAGTTTGCATATTTAACGTCAGCAGAATCCTGCGGTTATTTATGTCAGGGTAATAAATGCTGTATCTGCTAAAAGAAAAGCATTTCAAACCCAGAGAGTAAAAATCCAAATAATGTAAAAATGACTTTCTCTTCCAAGTTAAAAAAGCAAATACAGCAGAATATTTTTTCTTTTAATGCTGAATGAAACGGATAAAAAACGTGAAAATGACTTTAACCTCAGACACAGCCCTGGGAAAAACTTTCCCAATGGGTTATTTATTAGTAGTTTATTTCTGGAAAATGGAGCAACGAGATACTGATGTAGACTTTTCAACGGGGAGATGAGGAATCCATTTTGCTTAGCTGGCCTTAACACTTATTTTTGACTCAGCAGAAGATGCGGCCGAGGATATATTTAGTCTTCTTCACAAAGGAACGGGCATTTTTGTTGTGTTTCTCATTTAGCAGTCCTGCAGTATTCAGTAGAATACCTGTGGTCAGAGGTGACCGTGCTTCTGTCTGTAAAGCCTCTCGCAGGAAGTTATCATCATTAGATTTATCGTCCGCATTTCCACACTCGATGTGTCGCAGCCTAAATCTCATTTGCTGATGACTTTGTGACCAAACTCATCATCTGCACTTGTGCCTTAAAGTCAGGGCTGAGCAACAGGCTCTGAGTCATCAAAAGACGTCATGAAAAAAGGTTGACCCTTGAGTGATTTATTAATTTTCGTTTCTCCTCCAATACCAAATGTATTTCTGGGAATGGTGAGTCAAATGGTTTGAAGAAAATATTGAGAAAATAACATTACGAATCATAACGAGATTTTTATTTTGCACTCGATAAGAACAAATGCTAAAATAAACAACTCTATATGAAACACAAGTAAAGAATGACTGAGACGGTCATATTAGTACCACACCGAGATGGTTCTCAGTTAGCCTAGTAGCTTGACAGTATATGGACTGGGTAAAAAAAGGAGCAACCAACAAAGGTTTGACCTTCGTGAACTGGCTGTGACTCACAAACTACGATTGAATTTCTGATGTTGCTGCTTCAAAACTTTTTCTCCTTTTAGGCCCATGACGGAGCTATCAACACACACACACCCATACTCACACACACACATGCTAACACTCATCTCGCGTCTTTCCTCGTTTGTCCATTAAAAAAGTGACAGCCACCGTTTTTTTTTTCGACGTTGAGCCGAGTTTCTAATCACCCACTGAAGGAGAGGCTTGACTGACGTGAAACCACAGGATATCACAGACCTGCACATACACACACATACACACACATACACATATACCCATGGCAACCAGACGTTCTGTCACATGTGAGGTGCGAACTATAGAAGAAAGACAGAGAGAGAGAGAGAGAGAGAGAGAGAACCAGAGCAGAGAAGTGAGAACAGCTGGATGGAGAAAGTTAAATCGGAGATGGACAGATGACCTTCGTGCGTGTGGACTCGGCTCAGCCAATCCGTGACATCTTGCTCAGCGTGTGATGTATTTCTGTGTCTATTTCATTTCCTGTCTTCTAGTCTCCCTCGCTTTGACTCTCTCTAAACCCCCCCCCCCCCCCCGCCCCTCCCTTTAATTCGTTTTACGTAGAAAAATAACATAATCTCTCAGTTGCTGCGGGCCCTAATTACACCGGATCAGGCAGATGAGAGGGCACTTGGTGGGAGTGGATGCAGTGTGTAATGAAGCTGTGACAGATGCTGTCTGTGTTGTTCGAGCCCACTGGTTCTCTCCGTGTCTCTGGGTAATAATTAATAGACAACCGCTTCAACCAGCTAGTCTTCAACTGCTACCACTCAACACTGCACTTACATTACTCTTACTTCTTCTCTTCCTCCTCTGCCTCTTATTCTTTCTGACAAGCTGAGGTCACGTTTCAAACGGGACGGTGTTCAAACTGGATGTTACGTCATGTCCTTTTTACATACTAGAGTTCTCACTCTAGGATTCCTCACAGCAGCACGTTAAACACAGAGTTAAGAAATGGCACCAGTCGACATTTTGTTCTTCTGTGAGTGTGTGTGCTAACGAACTCTTTACCTCTGATTGGCTTACGCAGATATTTAAAAAACCACCGAACCGCTTGTCCACTGTGTGGCAGAACTGAGCTGTTGTTATCTATGGTTCTCAGCTCATTCTACATCAGTGCTTCTCAAATAGTGG